ACAAGATCAACGAAGATTTACAGCAGGCGCCAAAAGACTGCCAGAAATAACAACCAGATGGTCTGGGAACGACATGCAGATACCGATCTCAACTGGCCACGTACTGTATGGTTTGCGTGGAATGGGAATTACTACCTTAATAGTACTTCTGCCAGATAATTGTCCATCAATGGATGTTTCAAAACATAGTCTGTTCTCGACACTTTCATCAACCTGGATTATTGTCATTTGTAGTTCTAGTACAGAGTATGTCAACCAGCATAATCAATGTTGATATTACAGCATTCGTTTCAGAGCAAGCATCCCCAATTCGAAAACCGACCAGAGTATCCATGATCATGCCGAAGAGAATGTTGCTTTTGGGCATTGTTCAAGGCGGAGCGTCGTGGCGATGGGATATCCACCTAGGCACGATCTCTCCCCAAAGTGTCCATTTCTTTGAGAACCCTTCGATCTCATACTCCGAGTACATCCCTTCGTGCTTGGATCATCCAAGTTGGATCATCCCCATATCTCCACATACACGAAGTTAGCTGGAGAGTTGACAATTTCAGCCTGAGGAGATGGGACCATGAAGTTGACGCCAGAGAAGCGGTCAGAAAAAGTAAAAAAAAGCAGCCATCTGATTGATGATGGGCTTGCGAGTTTTGAACGCCGACCAGCCTCATCGCCATCAAAAAAGCGGGGACCACCAGCAAGCCACGGATCATGTTTGCGAATAATCGGAGGCGCATCGGCCTGAGTCTTGGTCAAGCTTCCTACAGTACAAGGATACCCCCACCTGTGCCAGATGGGTATCGCGGTTGTTGTGTTTTATCCACCATCATCGGCCAATCTGATCAAGATTAGATGGTTTTTCCTTCTTCCTACAGTTTCTGATCCCAGGATCCTAGCAACTTGGATGCATTTCAGGATATCAGCTGGTCAGATGTCTCGTGAGGAGAAAGCATGGATAAATTTCTTCGAAGAACGGTGAGCAAAGCTAAGCTCAGCCTTAGGGAAATGTAACCTGCAACCTCAGCTCCAAAGTTCACGACCGCGTCATGTTTCTGATCCGAATGTCAATGCTGAGTGAGATCCATCCGCTGATTCGATTGTCTCTACATCTGACGACGCCATACACGAGATATTGTGCATGAGAGACATGCAAACAAGCATCCATGGCGGAGCTTGATGCTGAATCTTGAACCACTCTGACACTCGCAGTGTTACACGCTTCGTGTCTGAACACATGGATCAGCAGTCGACTCTGCGATGATATCAAGACGGTCATCAGAAACTCCGAGTGAGATCCAATCATACCGACCGAAGAGCAGTGGCATGTGGCCGCCTGAGAACTCGTGGCCAGCACACCAAAGCCGGCCGATGATGGGATTTTGCCGATGGAAGGCGAAGGGCTGCCATTTTGCTTCATGCCCGCTGTCTAAATGGGTGCTCCTGTGCCTCCACATTCGGTCACCGGTCGACCGGAAAAGGATATCGCAAGCGTGGTTCCCGTCTCAAAGAACGAGGTATGTGGCATACGGGATATCCTATCGCGGATTGCGGGTTTCCCCAGCTGAATTACTGGGATTCGAGAAGGCAAATGGCAAACTACATTAAGATCTAGGGTAAGTGGAGGTTGCTGAATTGTACAAGGAATGATGCAGCAGACCAGCAGCTCAAATCCTCAGCCTACCGGAGGAGGATCATGACCATAGAGTATTAGCATTAGTCCACACCTCCGGAGTCCGTATGGATGAATGAATAATAATTGTAACTGGCGTTGTTTGTCTCAGTGGCCGACGTCGGCCCATCACTTGATAAGCCGAAGGACGGGGGCCCTTTATTAGCCACGAGCAGATTTTGTATGAGGGATTTATGTCAGTTGCCAGTTCGCGGGTTGCGCTCTCCACTCCAACACGGGAGCCTTGCCAACCGCTTCTCGCTCAGGCACTCTTGGTGCATGCAAGTGTCGCCAAATGTAGTAAGAGAAACACTAACTGCGCGCCAACAGAAGCAGAGCTGCAACTGAATGAACTGATCGAAGGGCACAGACAGCATGCTTCTTTGACAGCTGCTTCGATCCAAAGCTTCGGGTCGTATTTCTCCTCCTTCTCGTGAGCTTTTATCTTCGGGGGTTTCGGTGGTCCTCAATTGTCAAATCATCGCAGAGCATCAAGAGTCGACAAGGATAAGATACTCAAGCGAAAGTATCAACGGCGGTTTCTTGCTAGGATCATATGCGGGGTTTATGTACGGTTGCCTGTCAGAAGTTATAACAATGCTTTTATCTCTTCCTTTGGACCTTCTGACCCCTCATTATCATCCCCAAGTTAATACCTCTCATTATCGATATTATTGATGCTGAACTCGACATGGACTGACATTGAACAGTCGTTTTGAAACGGTCTGTATGGCTTGAATTTCCATACGGTATCAACCATACCATACCGTATGTTCCAGCACATACCACGGAGGAATACCTTCGATCACAATAACCGCTGCAGTGTAACAGGTTACACATGGACTTGCCCTTGCTTTGGCCAGACTCAGCCCGATCTGTCAGGACCTGGAAGCATTCCAGATCGACCTGGGACTAGAAGGTTCCGACCGTTCTGCAGACTCCGTGGGAGAACTATAGATCTCCGAAGTTGTACAGCAACAGTGTACTGTCAGAACAGAAGTGGCATACGGAGTACAGCCAAGAAGTCAAATCAACCTCGCAAATCATCACGATCTCCTGATCGTCTGCACAACGCATTCCACCTGACATATTCCAAATCAAGGGAGACACAGCATGCTTGATGAGGCAGCCAAGAGCTCCGCCAAGATCCGCCAAGAGCAATACATACACAACGCGCAGTTATGCTGGCCCTGTGCATCTTCCATTTCGGGAAATCGGAGGTCGCGGCCTGAAGGATATGCTTAAAGGGATGTCAACGGCAGCCAGCCAGCGAACCCCCTTGAAAGTTCTTACTCCCCTTTTCATTCCACAGCAGCACTTGGCGGCGTTCCTTTACCTCTGCCAAGACGATAAACCATACCGCTGCCCCATCTAATGATGCTCTACTGAATAATAATGATATCTGCTTGATGATCGTTTTCTACGAAATATCGACAATAATGTGTCGGCTACTCACCTTCTCTGTGATCTCGTGACTTGTGGATAGCTATCAGTGTCATCGTGGGTGGGCGCGGACGGACAGGCGACAACGGACAGACATTGCTTTTTCCTCCTCCTTGAGCCACCCCCTTGTTTCCTCCAGTGTTACGGTCGACCGACCGTTCCATACTCAAGTTACTCTGCTTTTGCCAAGCGCTCTGCCAAGGATTGAGCATTCTACAAATGCCTATTAGCTAGGACGACGTCTGCTGGTTTTCTGTGCCCTGTGAGAGGGTCTGCCAGCTCAACTTCGGGAGGGGGCGCAGCGGCGCAGAGATCCTGCGCCCCTTTTCCTCCCCAAGTACATCGACTCGTGTTGAGAGTTTGAGACAGCCGACTGGCGACTGCTAGTGCTAGCGGTAGATCATCGTCGATCATCGATACTATCTATATCGAGGCTGCATCGACCATTTCCCCTAACTGCTAATGTGCCAGACGCCAATACAATATTTGTCGCTTGGCATCAAGCGGACAGTAGCCTGAACACGATTCATGCTTCCAAAATTGGAAGAAAGTATTGATCCCATGATTGAGACCCAAGGATGTGCAATTGAGCATACAGATACATATAACAAGTTATCCAGCGCTACTTGGTTGCATTTCACCGACTTGCCATCACCAAGATTGCTAATAATCAGGCAGAACTAACACCAATGGAAAGGCAGAAGAATCGACTCTATTTGTCAAGCAGCTTTAACTGATGATCCATTGTGCAAACTAGCAGACAACAGAATATAGTGCTTGATTGGATACACTAAGGAACATAGACTCTATTCCCTCCTCGTGTAATAAGCTATCCATCCAAAATACTCCATTGTAGTGTTTAGTACCCAAACAGAGCGAGAATGGCATCTAGAAGACTGATTCAATCTCAAATTACAAGAGAGCACAAAGCACCCCACCCAAGCATCAAATTTCTTCTTCCAGTAGTGTTCGAAAACCCGTCGACCATCCGGCGATCTCAACGTCAAGCAATCCTAAACGCCGCAGCGATATCGCCGTCCCTATCCTATGCCACTCTTCTATATCTTTCCCCCAGGCCCTACAATACAGCCCTAGGTTTACTCCTTCATTACAGTAATCTCCATTCGCTTCGCATCTATCGTTCGATAGAACTCCTACGTCATGCTCAATTGCCAATTGCCAATTGTCAATTGTCGGAAACACACGGCCATGGATCTATGATACACCAACTACGACAATATATTTGCATTCCGTCCGAACGACCCATTTTACGGCATACTTAACAAATCTTCCAGCAATCAAAGGTAAGACGAAGATAACCAGGCACTCACTGATCTACTACCTTAGTAACCCCCCACATAACAGTATTCATCGGGAAAAGCGGATTGGTTAATGCCTTATTGTCAGATGAGAGTTGCATTGACAGGTATGACATCATAGGTACCGGGTACAGTGTGGCGATGATCCCAGCCATGCACTCAAACGAATAACGATACTACTATTATCCTGGGTCAGCCAGCCTCGTCAGTATGTTATCATACGACCGTCGCAGGGCTGGGGTTCTAAATATATCTCCAAAGTAGGTACGTATTTGGGTCGGATACATTCGCTAGGCATCATGGTTTAGGCTGGAGTCGGTTATTTGTGGGAGTTGATATGTTCTTGCACCAAGTCATGGATCATCGTGGCTGCATAAAGGGTCGCTGGAACAAGTGTACTCGTTTCATAGAAAACCCATACATAATATAGACAAACTCCAAGGAAGTCATCTGCCAATGCCAGATCGACAGACGCCCAACGCATATGCAACGGAACAGATATTGTGCCCCCTAAAGATACCAAAACCCCCAATAGCAGAAATGAATTTGAGGCCTCTGCTCCCCTGCAGTTGCTAGACACGCGTCCTCCCATGGCCACGCTGAGGGACCCGTGTCGCTGCCTGGAGACGCTTCTCTAATCGACTGCCCATCTTGTTACGTCGCTGCCTTTGCCCTTTCATTCTCCTCCACCATCGCAGGATAATCGCCTTGGCCCAAAGCAGCCGATCCCTTGTCTGCACTACCGCTGCGCATTGCATCGCCAGGCTCCTCGCTACAGTTCTTCGGTGAGCTTCTCGGTGAGCGAGGACGCGTCGCCATGCACGTTGGAGCACTATAGCAGCTCGAGCTTGTTTGGTTGACGAAAGTAGACGGGAGCAGAGGAAGGCGAGCGCTCCAACTGTGAAACTGCTGTTGAACATGTGTGCCTTGCGGGAATTGCTGGGAGAAACGAGGTTCGCTATCATCGGTTAGCCGTTGCCCTGGGCTACAGTCTAGAGATGAACTCACCGAACTGAGAACTGCAGCCGAGTGCTCGGAGACGGGCTGCCAATGAAGATGCCTTCCGGCCAGGAGTTGATGCGGCATTGCCCAGGATATATTCTTCGTATTCGTTCACTATACCCTCGTAGATCTTTCCATCTGCAAAGCTTGTGCTGAGATTCTCCAAACGGAGGCCACTCAGATGCGCCAAGATAGTTGCCCATTCCTTGAGCAATAGAATAGCTTCGTCGTCGTCTTCCATTTCTTCATTAGGACTCTTCTTGAACGAATTTGCATTGTTGACCGGTTCGTATCCGAGCTGAGATGTAGCTTTCTGTCTCAGTCTGTCAATCTCATTCCGCACATCATCCCAGTCGATGAGCTCCGAAAGACCCCATCTACTGACCAGCCCCCATAGCAAGGCAATTGTCTTCTCGCGGTGCCCATTCACTATGTCTTCGGCATGCACATCACGAACAAGCGGAGCAGCACCCGATGTCAACTTTAAGGCATCCAAAGCAATCTGCACATTGAACTTCTTCACTGTGCGGCTCGAGCAGGGGAATTTTAAACGTCTCGATAGCGGCCATTGATCATTTTCCAGCAGCAATACCGATTCCCCCACGGCCGCTGCTGATGGGTAAAGGAGTAATTCCACGATCCTAGTCAGTCTCACACCATCCCTGAGGTCAACCGCAAGATTACTCATTTGATACTCGTACTCCTGCAGTCGGTGCTGTTCATATGACAGGTGACAGTCCAAATGGTTGAGTGATTTCAAAATGTCACCCGATGTGGGCAGTAGAAGACGGGCCAGTGCTTGCATAACCGCAGCGGAGGACTTGAAAGATGAGGAGGACCTAAAAAGGCGACATGGAAGCATTGTTCCTGAACACAATCTCGCCTTGTCCAAAAGGATAACTATCATGATACTCCGAAGGACCGTGCGGCGATATGCTTGGGACACCATATCTGAGCCTCCGTGGCTAGGATCCTGCGCATCACGATCCATATCCTTATTTTGCACCAAGAAGACATCCAAGAATCGTTCCAGTTTCCGTCTGAGTATTCTTTCCTTGTCTGCGGTCGTTTCTACCAAGGAATGATGGAGTTCTCCATCGAGGGACTCATTGACAACTCTTCTTCCAGTAACCGTCTCGGTAGCTGCTCTTAGTGCTCGAAGGTCGTACGTTTCCAACCAAATATCCAAAAACTTTCGCTTCATACCCAAGTCATGTCTCAGACGCCTGGTTTGTGTGAGAGCATCTCTTGGCATACTGAGAGAGCCATACGACAATGACGCTTGAAGTCGCTTATGGAGTTCGACAAAAGGTCCGCTTTGATACAGTTGAAGAAGCTCATGTCTGAGCGCTGCGGGGTCATCATATTTCATGTGACCGTCCATTTGATCGAATAACCGGTTGACTAACTGAGTGATCACTATCTCTTGATGCGTAAGCCAATCGTCTTCATACATCGCTGGGTTGGCGATGTCGTCGGATATGAGTGCAAAGTCCTTCACCGTTGTCTCTTTCTTCATTAGCGGGGCGTTACTTTTGTATGCCTTGGACTGTTTGAGCGCATTGGGAAGGGTTGTGCTCCTGGAAGCGGACAGAACGGCGCCTTCAAGTCTCGACCTGCTTCTGACGATACCGTCCATTTTGCTGCCGATGCTGTTTACGGATGCCCTAGCATTATGCCGTTTCTCACCGAGCACGGATCTTCTTGGCTCTTGACTGGTGGACACATTCGCCAGTGGCTTCGTCATAGGGCCTGCAAAAGGACGAGCTTTGTCTGATAGGGCTCTGGTCGATTTTGAGTTGAATTTGTCTTTTGTATTCGAATCCCAGAGACCTTTGTCCTTGGAATTGAAGAGCATTGCCCCTGGAGGTATATTCTCCTTCCCAGTATTCTTGCCAGCGATATCGATGTTTATGGCGCTTCCTTGAGCGACTTCAACACTTGGTTGTAGCGGAGCCTTTCGAGACGAGGCCATTGTTCTCTTCGCTTGCCGTTTTCGCGCAATTTGTGACTCCAAGCTGTTAATCTCCGTATCCTCTGGAACATAATGACTGAGGCTGTCCGACTTGAGCGGACTGAAGATACTCATAAACACGCTGGCAACCGTGGTATCGTCTGGGGGAATGAAGACCGTATTGCGGCGCACATCTCGCTTTAGTCTATCTTCATGTTGATCTTCGTCTTCTCCGCCATTGATCCGCATTAGGAGCGACCTGTTTGTCTCTGCGTCGGCATCTATGTTCTGTCTTTGGTGCTTGACTTCTGCTTCCTGGCGCTGTGGTTTGGATGACGGACTCGACGCGAAGCTGACTTTCGGGCGGAATCTATGGGCTGGTTGGGCGAGCAATGAGGATTTGCGGCCTGAAACTGTAGCTGTGATTGTGCTCTCTCTTTTTCGCTTTGGGGCTGCGTGTGTAGATCTCTCTTCGTTCTCATCGTGGATTGCAAACGATGTTCCTGTCTTCGTCCTTCGTCTGGGCTTGACTCCAATTAAGGTATTGTTTTTGATCGCAGAGGTGAAGTCGAGGCTGGCAGTGTCATCGCCACATCCCAAGCTCCCTTCCCACAAGCTATCAAATGTATGACTTGTATCACTGTTTCTCGAATTCCGTGACTTTACCGGGCAAGGAGTTCCAACTTCCTGTAATAGACCCGACATGATGGTTGTTGCTTTGAAATTATCACATCAAAAAGCCTTAAAAAATGTAGTTTGTATCCAATCTAAGGAAGTTTATCAGTCCTAGTACACTTGACACTTCGCAGGCTATTGTACTTAATCGAGGCGGGTTGTGAAGTGGAACAAGGAGGCGTCTAACTTGGTGGGAAAGATAATATCAAGAAAAACCAAAAGACACGATAAGAGACACTCAATAATTCAAGACTTCAAGAACAAATTGCTGGTCATAAGGAATGGAGCTAAAGAGACATGGTCGAGATGTAGTTTCATGGAACGAAATAATGTATGGAACGCGAGGCCTGTACTGTTGACGGGAAAGGGTTGCCCAGGTAACATATTGTACCCGAGTTCTGATGCATCGTTAACTTCCACTCTTCCACTCAACACCAGTTTTCTTTTGTTAGAGGTCGGTTGTGGATATTCAAGTACTTCGTCATATAGATAGAATCTCATCAATTTCCATACGTGAATGCTTGTCATGACGAACTAGCTCTACTCCGAGCCGTTCTCCCATGACCATGAATGGATCAGCGAATATGAGAGAGAACTTGACTGTGCAAGAACGACCGACCTTGAATGCTCTGATTTCTGTACGAATCAGATGTTAGAGGTCGGATACTCTTAGGCTTCCTAAGAAGGGTGTGATCAAAGCTTGTCAGCGATATCGCTAGCCGCCATGCGTGTCCACAAAGCCGTAGGCTTGCTGGATCAAAGTTTCTGGCCGACAAGTACGCTTGCAATGACAGGGTTACTGCTCGCTTAGGACCAGCATCTCGAGACAGTTGGCTTTCCCGAAGATACCCTATACAGCCGTCCCTCGAGGGGAGGGGAAGGCATGGGAGGCCAACTTCGATATTTGAGAAACAAAGTGCGACATTTTCCTGACCTTCTTGAAGCATACCATCTCTAAGCATATACGAAGCAGGCCCTCCCACTTTGAAACCGGTACTGCGTGCTCATATGAGCATCAAGTCTAGAAAGCCGAGTACGCGTAGTAAACATCCCGTAGGCACTATGGCACAACGCGGCCTGGCGTCAATGTATCTGTATCTGGTCATCAGATGAAGCTAGGATCTTTTCGAACCATACACCGGCATCTTTTGCCAAAGGTTTTCATCCACCATCATGTTATCCAGTGACGGTAAGATGATGTAGTCCACTGCTACTGACAGGGGTATTGTAGGCGCTTTTTCAGAAGACCTACTTGGCCACCGAAATAGGACAACACCCACGATGACAACGCGTTGAGACTGGAAACTAAAGGCCACGATGATCGAGAGTATTCGACCCTCTCTGGACTCTTCCACTCCTCACTTTGATCAAACTGGATAAATGTGGGTTAGCACCGACAGACTCAATCATCCATGATGGTCTCATTCGAACAGCAGCAGTCATTGTTCATCAGAACGTAGCCAATCATCCGTTTCGATAATCATGATGGGAAGAGTCTAATATGATTGTGAAACCGCGGGTCCGATCTTCTAAGGTCTAAAAACTAAAGACAGACTTTCTGCTGGCAGTCCTACAAGGATTTCCGCCGTAGTCCGAGGTTGACATTTGAAGGAGATTTGCAGCCTGGGTAAGAGTGATGGAAAGTGGAACCTCGGTCTGATCTGGCGTCACTTGAGCATTGTCATATGAGTGTAATGATCAGACGGGCTGGATCATCCTCCTTCTCCAACAATGTTAATAAATCTCATTCAAAATACATCTGCGCCTCAGCATCTATCTAGTTATCGTCCCTGAATATCCCTAGTGGGTCAGCACTTATGCTACGGAGAACTAACAAGTTAAAGCCAAACGGCCTCGCGGTATGAGAACTCTGATTCGATGAGACCCAAAACCTCTCCATCCCCAGAGGCCCAGACACATGAACCTAACCCAGCTGATCTTCAACGTGGCCCTCTCTTCTTGCTCTCTTGCTCTCCTGTACCTTGCATATCGACCAGGGCAGTCATTTCCAGAATTACTACCTATCTACTCTTTCACTCGATTTTACAAACAATTCATGTGATGCGCTAGTTGGTCTCCTCCGCAGTGATTGTCTGAATAAAAGTCGCGTGCTTCCTTACTTCCTGCCTACTCCTCCACTCGCCGCCAACGGAATACGCATAAGCACACCTCGCTGTTAGATCGCTGCGAAGATGGCCGATGAATAATTTCGGTTATTCTTCTTTCACCTGTTTCTACTTTTATTTAGCATTTGTTGAGTTGATATTGCCTCCAAATCCGCCGCTCCTTCGCCTACCATCTTACTATCCGCCTCGTCCCGCCTCGATCCCCTCTCGCTCTACCAACGTACATCCCGGGATGATTGCGAGTCATGGAAGCCCTGGTTTATGAGAATTCGCCGTTGGCGGAATATTTGAGAGGTATGTCTCCTAGGAGAGTCATGCATAGGTTCGGGTTACTAAATGATGATATCGTTGGCCATTCAGGGGAAGGTGAACACGATCCAGACTGGCCGGTCCAGGAAACTAAAAACGCGGATGATCCCTTCAACTCAACTGCATCGGATTTTGCTCCGCGGGGCACTTCAAAATTCCAAGAGCGCATCCGGAACAAGCTACCCAAACCCCTGGAACTGAAATCCTCGCGCCAGAGGGCGGTTCTGGGTAAACTCTACGATGCCTGTGCAGTATGTATTCCGACTATGTTGCCCGATCAGCTGCGGCAGGAACTCTGGCTGACAACTTTCCTTTTGAATAGGCTGCCCTGAACTCGCGCGTCGGACGAAGCGACAATGAAAGATTCCTGGAGCAGTTTGGATACGTTATCGTCGCATCGCAGTTGTTGAATGAACACAGTGCACCCTCGTATACGTCAGCCGCAGACGTACTATCCAGCTCAAACCCCGTTGACCTTCCATCGCTTTCCACAACTTTTGGCGTGCAGGGCGCCGTTGTCACAGCATCAACGTCCTTCTCAATCGCCTGGCTGTTACACTGGAGTCGATCCCGAACAGGGTCCGGATTTAATCCTCGGAAAGTCGGCGTGCTTCTGGTCCTTGTCCCAGTTCTTGGGGTTCTGTTCTACGCTTTTGCCAGACGTCAGTGGCTCAAGTACCTGCGGCACCAGGCTGTCGATGCGGCTGTGGTATTTATAAGCAATGCGCAGTCATTCGATTCCGCTGCTTCAGCATCGGTCGTTTTCATACAGGAGGTTGAGCTGGTCTCACGGGGTTATCGCATGTAAGCTGCACTCGATCTTGCATGAACAAGTGCTATAAAGGCCGAGAATGCTAACACAGTATCAGAAGCACGCCCTTGCCCCCTGTAAGTAGACTTGAGGATCAAGCGCAGACACGACGATGTCTGAGACTGCGTCGGACCGTGTCCGAGTGCTTTTACTCAATGTTGCAGCGTTACCTACAGGCGCAGCGTATATTGCAACCACTTACAGACAATGACAATCTCGCCAAGTACCACGACATTTACGATGTCTCACTAGAAGAGCTTACCGAAGCCGAGACTGCCTTGGCTGAACGGGAAACAGAGGACCAATACTCATTGCGCGCGCTTCGCACCCTGTTTGGAAGGCTATACACCGTGAGAAAGAGCATCCTTTGCTGTCTTCTAGCTCTGGGTGCCGACGGTGGCGGATCCGACATCGTAAGATGGAGCACGGCTATTGAGCAGATGCGAGATCTTGCTCAAGTCACAGGAGTGAATACCCGCAAGATGGCCAGCATTCTCGATGAAGATGACCGTGAGTTTACCTCGATGTAGAATATTGACCAATCCGTCGCTAATTCTGTTCTTAAGGTGACGTAATTCCTCCTTCGCCTCTGCCCACAGCCTCTCCTAATAGGGAGAATCTCCGCGCTCAATATCGAAAGCTCAATACCCTGACTCAGGGCATCCGCGCCCTTCACGCGAAAATGCATCTGATTAGAGAGCTGTCCACTGCCACTTCAGAGCCTACTGACACCGAAGAACTCGAAGCAACTCTTCTTGCCCAATACGAATCAATCGGAACGGACATCAGTGGCCTTCTTCAAGAATGGGAGGCTGGCAAATCTGCTCTGATGAACAGCATCGACAAGCGATCCTCGGTAGATCATATGTCGCGCCCGCCGAGTGTGTTGAAGCTGCCATTGTCCCCGACACCCAGCCTTGGCGGTGCCACCGCGGTAGAGGGAAGCCCAGCAGATGCGCTCCGGGCTTTGAATGGCGATATCAAGGGAGACCCGAGCATCATCCAGAGTATCGACGATGATGAAGAGATATTCGAATCCATAGTTCTTCCGTCCCGCAATAAAAGGGTGTCTCTGACCAGGGAAGAGCGCATTGCCCGTGTCAAGGAAGACCGGGCGAAACAGGCTGCTGCACGCGAACGAGCGGACGCGAATACCAACATGCTGAAAGAGCTCGAGATGGTCATCAAACAAAGACCTCGAGGGACAGCTTCAAAGAGGGTCACGAGTATCTAATTCTCACACCTATCGTTCTATCATTCTTTCTCCGTCCATCTTTCTCGACTTGCCACCTTCTGGATATTTTCCCACCGCAAACGAGTATATAATATCCTCAAGCATCCATGTTCTACACTGACTCTGAGCGAGCATTGATCAAACAAACTCTGCAGGCTGATACCCATTGCAAATAGAGCGGGTTGGCGTCACTGGTGTTTTGTGCTTTCCTTCCTTCTTACGTTCCTTCACTACATTGATGCTTTTCCGTGTCCATTGTACAGCATACATAACTGCTTGTCTTCGATTGTTCTTGCGCTCTTTGAACGCTTCTATCTGTTTGGCTTTGACTTTGGCAATTGCGTCTTCGAGATTGGCACCCGCTGGGTAATTTCCTATGTATAATAACGATTGTGCTGTAGATAATTATAAATTGAGACTAATCTCGAAACATGAGGAGACGACCAACTCAAGTGACAAGGCAACGATGCCGCTGCCTTAGGCTAGGATTGAGTCTAACCACAATTGTTCATATCAGCCTAAGGCCCACCCAGGTTAATGACGCGCGACTCGTGAACGCGTCTGATTCCCCACTAAACCTCGAACGCGAATTTACAGCACTTTAGACCTCACTCTCGCTCTCCAGCTTCTGACCGGAACCATTCTAGCTTCACACCTACATTCACCTGCAAGTCCCCTATCTTTCCAATTTCATCGCACTACAACAGCTAACGAGTGGCAATTTTGTCTTCAGAGTCATTGTCATCGACGCCTCACTTCAATTTCACATCATCTCATCTATACCCATTGATTTAGACGTTCAGACACATACATTCAAGAGTAAGCAGTTCTTGTCCAATTGTTTCAATGAATATCCTCTGACCGTCAGCTCAGTGTTGGAAGCACGACTAGAACAAGCTAGCCTTCTCAAGCGCGTACGTCAGCCCTCAATTCCAGGTTTGCCTCTCGGCTTCATGACTGACCTGATTCACGCTCTATCCAGGTCGTCGACGCTATCAAAGATCTCGTACAGGACTGCAACTTTGACTGCAATGACTCGGGAATCGCCCTTCAGGCCATGGACAACTCTCACGTTGCTCTGGTTTCGATGCTTCTCAAGGCCGAGGGTTTCTCGCCTTACCGCTGCGACCGCAACATTGCCCTTGGTATCAACCTGGTCTCCTTGACCAAGGTTCTGCGTGCCGCTCAGAACGAAGACATCCTCACACTCAAGGCGGACGACTCGCCTGATGCCGTGAACCTCATGTTTGAGAGCGCCGAGACCGACCGAATAAGCGAGTATGATATCAAGCTGATGGACATTGACCAAGAGCACCTGGCCATCCCAGAGACAGAGTATGCCGCTACGGTGGAGATGCCGTCGGCGGAATTCCAGCGGATCTGCAGAGATTTGAATGCGCTTTCTGAATCTGGTGAGTTATGGGATTCCGTCATTGGCTATTTTCTTACTGACCTGTGGTAGTTGTCATTGAGGCTACAAAGGAAGGTGTCAAGTTCTCGTGCCAGGGCGACATCGGCAGTGGCTCGGTTACCATCCGTCAACACACCAGCGTCGACAAGCCTGAGCAGAACGTTTCCATTGCCCTTAGTGAGCCTGTTGCTCTCACATTCTCCCTTAAGTACCTCGTCAACTTCTGCAAGGCTACATCACTGTCGAGCAAGGTTACTCTCTGCCTATCACAGGAGGTGCCTCTACTTGTTGAGTACGGCCTGGGAAGTGGCCACCTGAGATTCTACCTCGCTCCTAAGGTATGATCTTCTCTATCCGTCTATTGAGATGTCTTGAGGCTAACTTCACCCCGAATAGATCGGAGACGAAGAGTAAGAGGTTGAGGCGAATGAGGCGGGAAAGGCAAATGAGGCGTGACTATGACGTGAAGGGGGAGCATAACGGTGGCAACGAACATTTCTTTCTATTTCCCTGATATTCAAAATATCCCATGAACATTAGCCGGACAGGACAACTACGGAAATCACGTTCAATCATTCACTTCGAGGGTCGGGCTATCTATTATTGAAGTATGTAGCAAAAGACTGGCAAACATCTTAAGAGGTCCTCATAGTATAATCATGATGTAGCCACAAGGCTACCTGAGCACGTCTACTATTAGTGCAGTGACTACGAAGTCATTAAGAATTGCAGTGACCAGATTACATTCTCATTCCGCAGTAGGCCATATACAACACGCCACCAGGCCAGATTTCCATCCTTGCCACCAGCACAAGCCCCCAGGGCATCAACAGCATCCAAATTACCCCCTCACAACATGACAGCAACCCTATCAAGCCCAGAGGCCAACCCCAACTCATTAGCAGGGGCAAAACAAGTCCTTTCCAGTCCCAAACCAACCAAACCACATTTAACAGGGGGAAACAAAGTAAGTACAAACTGACCTGGAAGAAAAGAGAGGTGAAGCGCCACCCCAACCAGAATAATCGGAATCGAATGATACCCCCTCCAATCCAGCCACAAACGCAGCCGGAAAGGACGGCGCATGCTGCGTATTGCACTAAAGTGTCATAACACACAATCTTCGCAACGACTCTCCCATGGGGAAACCCAGGTCCTACAGCGTAGGACCCAGCCCCGATGTTTCTGATGCCGGTTGCAGGTGTTTCACACCAGGCCCTCACGGGCAGTACCGGCCCCCTGTCCCCGTAGGCACAGAGGGCGGGTTACTGGGTAAGGTGAAGATTCCTCCGAATTTCTCATTTGCGGGGCCCTCGGTGATGCGCGAGGATCACGCGAGGGGACGAGGCTTGCACCTCGTCGTGTGTAGCAAAGAAACGCAGCATTGGTTGGGATGGCGCTTGAGGGAGAAAAGAAGAGAGAAAAGAGAGCGGGAAATTTATTGTGGTGGTTTTATGGTCGTGGGATTTGGTGACTCACCGCCTGCCGGAGTGGGGAAGGCAGCGTTGGATTACTAACTAGCCCATGATTGAAGTGGGAGACCTAGGTTCGAGCAAGCGAGGAAAGGTGGATGTGAACTGTTTATGCTCTATTGACTGTGCGTATTTGGCTTCTCGTTTCTCATGTTGGTAGATTTATCCTGATATCAGTCAGAAATAGTATGCAGCGAGCACTCAGCTGGAGCCAGGAGCCCTCAGGTGTGATGTTTTAGCTTTATATAGTTTAAAAAGTGGTAAATTTCCAACATCATCCGATATGGTGTAACGGCTAACATCGCCGTCTTTCACACGGCAGCTCGGGGTTCGACTCCCCGTATCGGAGCTCATCACTTTCTTTTTTGTTTCTCTTCTCTCTCTCATCTTAATAACAAGCTGTATGAATGCTATGAGATTTAGAGGGTTGAGGAGCTTTTTTCAATTTCAGTTTTGTTTATTCTGACCAATGGGGACTGAGTAAATTGGGGGCGAGAGCCTGGTGGTTATGGAAACTGTCCCAGGTCTGTCGCATGCTACCCCAATCTGGCGTCGACTAGACCAGGCCATAATGATAAGATTGCAAAGCTGGAGAGCACCTTTCGTGCTTAGTACGACCATGACAATCGACTGAAATGCAAGGACCACTAGCTGAAAAACATAAAATAATGTACATATGATTCCATTCATTTTCTCTGAGCTCTCCGTCAAAACGATTCTGGGGTAAAACTTATGGTTTCCAACGGCAATATCGTACTTAGTGGCATTCAACCTATGCTGCAGATAGGTATGAGCGCAAGCACTCTCAACTGGCTCGTGCGAGGAGGCATGCGTTGTTTTCAGAATCATGTCGCTCTCGAATCTTCGATATGCACCGGTACAGGTAAAGACAAGTGGCACCAAGGGGTATATGATTGAAGGTAAAACATCGAAGGAACTGAATCATACGACCACGCCTATCACCCTCGCTTCCAAGTTCTTAATGTTCTTAATGTCTGAGAGAGCGAAAACGGGGCTTATTAACCACCGTACTCTCATCTGGCGAGTCTATTCATGAAAGGACTTGACCAAAGAAGCCATAATCGCGAGGACTAGACGAAATGACGCATTTCAGCAGCTCACGAGGAGAACTTGCGGGTGATCTTGGCGATGACTGCAATACAACAAGTATTAGAACCCATTCGCTGAGCTTTCGGAACGCAAACCACACATACCGTGAAGACCGACAACGGAGAAAATGAAACCCAAGCTGAGCACCAGAACAACAACAGGGTCAACCCTCAGACCAGGGCTCTCGTCAGTGTAGAGCTTGAGCATTGTGCCGGAGGAACCACCCGCACCAGCAGCACGGGTAGAGCTGGGCCTAGCATTGCGGAGGGATTCCTTGTGGTCTGCGGCCGCGCGGCGACGCAAAGCAGCTCTGGGACCACCGGGAGGAGTAGGAGAAGAAGGGCGGTTCACGGAGCCAGTGGCGGAAGCCCCAGCACCGGCGCCAGAAGACTTGGTGTCAGGGCCGGACTCGGCACCGGAGGTCAAGGGAGAAGCAGCACGAGGAGAGGCCTGGAACAGATGCAATTATGGTCAATCTTCAATTCAATGCAGAGGGCCGGTTGAGAAGAGCAATCGGAGCTTCTGTCCACAGAGGAAATAGCACTACTTCTCAAGGGACGACGATTGGGAAAAGCACTCACCATCTTGAGCAATTGAATGAGGAAAAGGGAGGAGGGAAAATCAATGAATGTGGTGAAGAAATTAGACTGTAATAAAAGCAAGAACTAATAGAAGAAGTAAAGAAATTCTGGCGACTGAAGGAAGAAGAAAATCGAATTGGGGGATGGATTAGCTGGCAAAGGGTAGGTATGTGAGGTGAGGTCGCGAGTTGCCAGAAAGAGGCCACGATCACGATTTCCAGCCAGTCGGGTATGGTAACGTATGGTTACGTAGACTTACCCCAGCTTCATGTGACCCAATCATATTCGCCCTCCACTTTCTAACCCCTGAAATGATAACGCTCAGACTGTGGCAGTTAATATCAATGAATGAGATGCTGGCTACATACTCCGTAGATTTCAGTAGTAATGAGTAGATTAGATTGTTGAAGAAGAACTGTCGCATATCATTCAAATAAAGCCAATCTGCAGTAGCGGTCTGATTGTCACTCGCAGCGTGCCAGAGCTGAGAATCTACCAAAGCTAGCTAAATGGAATTCCATCCTGGTGAACGCTTTTGAGATATTCGGTATATGACAATTATGTTGTATTTGAGTCTAAATAGTTACAATACACGCCAGAGGAGATGCACATTCGTGATATACCAGAACTTGAAGGGGAATAGAAGAAGTCATCACTGAACGCCATTGCCATCAAGGAATAGGAAGCGGAGTAAGGACGAAAAGGAAAGTGAGTGAATACGACTGAATGAAAATCGCTCAACCATACTTCAGGAGGTCGAAAATAGTCGTCAGGCAGCCTAATAAACGCAGGCAAGGTATCATATCGAAGATTCCGAGAACATGCCCCATTTGTCAGTACCCAACAGCCCGCAAGCGAGGTATAGATCAAGTACCACCGCGTACTCGCGGTCTCCGTTTCTAATATACGGAATGTAGAGGCAAAAAGTCGCATATTTGAATTCCTCAGCCTTAATCCTCCGTTTCGTTTTCAATTTAATGAATTCGTTCATGAGGAGCAAGAGAGCAATGCTCAATCAATCATCATTCGATTGGGCATTGCGCCAGTGACATTCGAAGACAACTCGGTGGTCTTTTCCGCCTCCTTGCGGGACTTCTTCTTGTTGATATGGGGCTTGAGTCCCTTGTGAAAATTGTGCATGCACATGCAAGCGTTGATGATAGTCATGACGATGAGAAAAATCGTGATGACAGCAAAGAACGTGAGTGACCGCCGCGCGGGCAGGTAATCCTTGTAAGTCTGTGGTTGGTACATGCGCACAAGCTTGAATAGGAAATAGGCCATAGCTGCAAAGTAGAGAAGCTGGACTTATGGTCAGAGAGAACAACAATAAATGTCGCGGAAGCGGGAAACATACGATGGTGATAATCATTCCGACTGAGCTCTCCCGTCGAACAAATATCGCCGCGCAAACCAGAATCAAGATCGTCACAGGTATAGCAGCTAGGGTCAGAGAGAATTCGATGTCGGCTTTATCAGTGACGATAACGACGAACTGCACCGTGAATCCGAGGAAGAAGAAAAAATCAAACTTGAGAAGTGCGACATAGATCTGGCAGTTGGTAAGTCCTCGTGTCTCCTGATTTGCATTCTGTGGATAGGAGTCGCAAACCTGGTATGTGAGAAATCGACGCTTCATTCGCAGATCAGCGCTGATATGCTTGTAGATCGACCATGCAAATTCATCATAAAGTTTCCATGCAACCATCATCATTAGAACCGTACCCATTGCCACAACGCACGGAATGATGATCAAGAAAGGCTCTGTTTCCCCCCATACGTCCGCATCGATACCGTCATTCACGGTCAGAATGGAGACAGCCTCCTTCACCTGCTGGACCTGCACTGCCCCGTAGATCAAGAGTCCGATGTTGCAAAGACATAAACCAATGACCTGAATCGTGTTCTTCATCCGCAAGGCATCATATACAAGCACCAGCTCATACAGGAATCCAAAGCTGTACAGCGCTAAGAAAATCGGAATCGTTTTTGACGCGGTGACAGCTTCGGATTTCGATTCAAGCTGGCTCTGGAAGTTGGCGAAAATGTAACTGAACGACCATGCGTTAGCACCCAAAGCGGAACGGAGATTTATAGACATTCAGGCCCACATACCATTCTAGCGCGAGAGTGATGACAGTCTGAATGAAAGTGACGATGACAAAGGACCACGTCCACATCGAATTTGGAATATACATTTTGCGCTTGGGCGGCTTTGGCGTTACATTCGTGTAGCCCTCTCGTGAACGGAAGCCTCCAGGACCTCGTCTAAACGAGGGATCAAATGACCCCCCGAGAAGAGAGGCTCGCGAATTGTGTGAATAAATTTTGACGAAATGCTCCGTGACGGAGCTCGAGTCCGCCGGAGTTTCGGTCTCAGGATACAATATGACGGTTAAACCACCTGGCGGCGGCGCGGATGCTCCTGAGACTGTTGGTGGTACAGGATAAAGAGGGTCAAGGGAGAGGATAGAAAGACGTTGTGGTGGCCTTTGCCGGTTTGTTGACCTGACTGTTCGACAGGACGTTCAGAATCAGGAGGTCACGTTCGGAGTTTTGGTCATGGAAAGTACCGAGGGTTTGTCAATACAGACAGGCGAGCCCCAGCAAGCCTTCTGTGGAGCGTCGACCTGGGGTAGGAAGAGGGAGAGAGAGGTCGACAGAGTTGAAGAAAGGACTGGGCGACGAAGAATACGAAGAAGGGCTTTGTTTTTCTCTCCCCCAGAAGAAGAGGGTTGTTGCCAAGCCGCGTGAAACGTCGTCTATCAGGCGGGGACTGGAACAGACTCCGATCATCAATCACTTCGAGACCAGTGTAAGGCTGAGCACATGTAGGGAATCACGAGTGTACGGCTGGCCTCTAGCCACAAAATCGCGCAAATGAGAAAGGGCGTGGGATGTATGGAATTCGGACGTATAACAGAAACGGAAGAAAGGATGAACGAAAGACAATTTCAATTGGCTGGTCGAAGAGCAAGAGCTATGAAGCTGGTGATAACAATAAATAAACGATGAAAGTTGTCCAAAGGGAATGGAGTAAGGTGAAAAGAGAGAGGTGTGGCCTGAACGATGGCAGTGCCAGTACCTACCTATAGCCGTGTACCAGTGGTAGGTGTCTTCCGGCAACTACCTAGGTACGTACCTCACTTTGTGGGTAGTCCTTGTGGATTTGTGGGTTTAAGCAAATTGTGGTACGGAGGAATGCTGAAAAACAGATTATTATTTTGTGATGATTTTGAGTTGGTCTGAAATGGAGTAAGCAAATGACAATGAGAATAATGCGATCTGGTTGGAGATTGCTCAGCTCGGTATCCAGGGTTCAGCAGATAGTTCACAAGTCCAGACATTGGCACTTCTCATATAATTGAGCAAGGAGCCATGGGTCAATAATATCTATCTACATCGTACCAACTATCTAGATACTTTAAAGGTTCTACTATTTTATTCTTGTCATTTATGTCCATGGATGGAGAGAATTGTCAAAGTACGGAGTAACAACAGCAAATTCGAGGCAAAGCAGACGCAACGAGCGTCCCATCTTCCTAGTTTGCCATTGTTGCTATGAGCCTATGAGGCTATGAGCTTGTGATGCTTTATTTATCCTCCAAATTGAATGTCAAGAGTGCTCTTAATCTTTCACGACTAGTGACCGCCAAGAGTTCTGTACGTAGCTAGGGACCAAATTTTCCAGCGCAGCCTCGAATGATAAGTCCCCTGTGCCTGGGGATATGGAGAACGAACCCACTAGCTGTACCAAAACAATTAAACAAAAACTGCTTACAATAGACAACTAGTCGATTCTGGTGGGGCCGACACATCAAATTTCTGCCTGTCGTAAAACGGCAATGACTGAATTTTTCTGACAGGCCCAGAATTTCCGGTGATTTTGTTTGAGACTCCATTATTATTATTCTAGCCTCCGATTACGACGGGCTTGGAACTCTCGGGGAGATTTGAATTGTGGCTTTGACCGGCTTACAATTATGCCTGGACGTGGTTCAGGAGACACTTCTACAATTATTGTAGTGAGTCTAGATAGTCGTGCTATGTGATAGGCAGATTGTGGAAATTTTGCATGAACAACTCCAAAGTCTGCCATATACACGCACAGCATTATTCCATAGACACGCCGAATTATCCCCCCGTTGTCCATACTCCGCTGAGAAATTGAGGGAGGATGATCACTTCCAATCCCGAGCAGAAAAAGGAAAAACCGTGTGCCAATTTTACTATTAATATTCCCACAGATACTACAGCAGATGCGAGACTGCAGTCTGCCCACAGCGATCTTCATCTCCCACTACTATCTTCGCGATTCGCAAATTCAAGCTACTATCATCGACTCAAGGCCTAGACCTGCTTGAAGCTCGAATACAGTCAGATTCATATTCTTTGGTTCTGCATGGCGTCATTTGTGAAAGTATGCATTTCATCAGTCCTGACCCTGCGTCCTGTGTCCTACCTATCTCCAGATGGTGGCAGTACAGTCAACATATTATTAATTAAACATACTAACACAGGGCGCCGGAGAAGGCTTGCAAATCTCTTCATCGTGGACAAGGGAATTCAACACTTTTCTTTCCTCAGGACAATAGTAATCCCTGGTGTCTTCGTGCGATTGAGTCTACTCGCGTAAATCGATCATGTGCAGTGACCATCTGCAACTGAGCTGGTCAGTCCTGAGTCCACACTTGGACTCTCAGAGCCTTGGACAGTTGGACCACGGGCCAGAGGCCCAGTTGATGATATTAAGGTTGATCGAGCCACTCAGTCAAAAGCCACAAATAGACAACAATCCGACCCAGCCATCCCCCATTGCAGCTCACCCGCATATCAATGCTAGGGAGTTCAAGGTGGCTGTGGCTGTGTCACCCAGCCTTCAGCCACTTTTGTAATTCTGGTCACACAGTAAAGGGATGGCAGAGCCACTTCAAGAGCCAAACCGAAAGACGGTGTGACAACTGTAATGTCCAGAAACTGAATCAGTGTTTTAAGAGGCAGTCGGCGGTACTCTGTAGTCCATGAGGGGAAGCGAGAAAAAAAATTTGCAAGGCGAAAAAGTTAAGGCATATAATGAGCTCCGATACGGGGAATCGAACCCCGAGCTGCCGTGTGAAAGACGGCGATGTTAGCCATTACACCATATCGGATATTTGCTGAAAGAAGCGGAAGTTTTTGTTATATAAACTAAGTCTAGTGTAACGCAAAAGTCAAACAAAAATGAAAGAAGTTATGATGACCTCCGATACGGGGAGTCGAACCCCGAGCTGCCGTGTGAAAGACGGCGATGTTAGCCGTTACACCATATCGGATTGGCTGGTATTACTGGGCTTTTGTTATATAACTCAACAAAATAAATATGTAGTTACAGAAAACAGAAATACTTGCCAGGAGCGGCTTTCGTTACATGTTATTCGATCTACTCGAGCATTACTCTATTCAACTCTCTACTTCTAACTGTTGTAGAAGATCTCGGAGGAACGAATATTAGGTTCATCCAGTCTATTGGCATCGGCCAGCTCCGCTCCGCCAACACTCACTGGAAACTTAGGTACTCAAGCCCATCGAAAGTTGCGCTGGTCATTGCGCGGGCACGGTCTACCCTCTAGGTAGTCGCGGGTCTTGAATAATGTCATTGGAAGCTCCGGTCAAAAGATGTTGCTAACTGTTTACATAACTACTCAGTCAACGACTCCACTATCATGATATCTAAGGGGGCCGGGGCCGGAAGGCTGCCTTATCAAAAACACTGCTTCCACAACCAATCGCCATTCGCTTCGATCTAACTTCCACTGATAAGGATGAGCTACGAAAACGACGTCCGCCAATGATGACGTTCAAAGCTCGAGCTGTCAGAGATAACCTACCTTATTTCCCATTGTACCGGAATTTCACAGACGACTAATTCGAAAACAGGAACTCAAGCAAGATGGAGCACCGGCAACCCCATGTGGCGCCGTGTGCCTGTGGCCCTACATCCGGATGAGATTGATAGCACGTCGCTGTCCGCGGTCCTGAGGCATGCTAATTACGAAAATATGCTCTTATCGTGGAGTCACGAGCGGCTCGTATTTCCTATCTGACGATGAAGCATAATGTTGACCAGCATGATGTCTGCGAATTCGGAGAATTATCTGGATCTCCATAGCTGTGCAGTCTGTAGTAATGGGTATATGAATGGCAGATGCCTCCTGCTCTGGGGGTTTCACCCAGATACACAACAGACTCCACAGACCACAGATCTACCAGTGATTATCAGCCTGGTAATCCACTTGGGATCTCGGTACAAGCTCCGCCATCTTGTACAACTCTAGTACACTACTCTGTTACATTGAATTGAGAGGGAATCACAGGCTGTCGAACATGTCCTCGGAGGAGGTCAAGTTTGTTGCCCCCCTTTCACAAGGGTTTGGCTATGGCATCATTATTGGATTGGGTTTCGCTTTTGCGTTGGTGATGATCTTCATTACATGGGCTCTGAAGAGGTAAGAGCTTTCTATGTCCATTCTTATCGTGTTATACTTGTTACCCGATGCAATGCCTCTCCCTTGAGCCGCAGGTTTGCTAATAATGAATTGACTTATAGATATCAGCATGAGGTCCAGACATCCGAAATGTTCTCGACCGCCGGACGGTCAGTAAAGTCGGGTTTGGTCGCCGCAGCTGTCGTCAGTAGTTGGACTTGGGCAGCTACCCTTCTACAATCTTCTGCGGTGGCTTACCAATACGGTGTCTCGGGGCCCTTCTTCTATGCTTCAGGTTAGTCCTAAGCGCAAACTAGGGCTTTGACTGATGCAACATCATTATTGATAATCACCGAATAGGTGCCTGCGTTCAAATTATATTGTTTGCGACACTGGCTATCGAGCTCAAAAGACGGGCTCCCAACGCCCATACCTTCCTGGAAGCTCTCCGCGCCCGATATGGAACTGCAGTGCATCTAGTATTCATTGTGTTCTGCCTCATGACCAATATCCTCGTCACTGCCATGTTACTCACTGGTGGTTCCGCCGTTTTGACATCTTTGACTGGGGTTCATACAGCTGCAGCCTGTTTCCTCCTCCCCATAGGTGTTGTGCTCTACACGCTTTTCGGTGGCATCAAAGCAACATTTATCACTGATTACATGCACACTGTGGTCATTATCGTCGTTATTTTCATTTTCGCTTTCTCCGCCTATGCAACGAATGCGGAGCTGGGATCCCCTGGCAAAGTGTATGATGCACTGGTTGCAGCCTCTGAGCTTCATCCAGTAGAAGGCAACGCTCAAGGGAGTTACCTTACCATGAGATCAAAGGAAGGAGGTATTTTCTGGGTGATCAACCTTGTCGGTATGTACCCCTAAACTGCCCTATGCGAGAACATAAGCTCTGACAGATGTTTTGCAGGTAACTTTGGGTTCGTAACATGCATAATCTAGGTTCAAGCCAAATTACTGACAGCCATAATAATATAGCACTGTGTTCCTTGACAATGGATACTACAATAAAGGTGCGTCTATTCTATCCTCGAATGAAGCACTGTGTCATGACGATACTGATTGCTCCCAGCCATTGCGGCAAGCCCTGTTCACGCCTTTCCCGGGTATGTCATTGGAGGTCTGTGCTGGTTTGCTATACCCTGGCTGTGCGCGACCACCATGGGAATCTCTGCACTTGCCCTCGAGGGGACTCAACGCATTAGCTCCGACGACGTCACCGCTGGCCTCGTATTGCCATTCGCTGCTGTCAAGCTTCTGGGCTACAGCGGAGCTGTATGCACGGCCCTTATGGTCTTTATGGCAGTCACTTCGGCATTCTCAGCTCAGTTGATTGCCGTCTCCTCTATCGTCACTTACGATGTCTATCAAGCGTACATCAACCCTGCCGCCAAGGGCAAGAGATTGGTGTGGGTCTCTCACATGTCTTGTATTGCCTTCGCTCTCATCATGGCTGGATTTGCAACGGGGCTCTACTACGCCGGAATTGGTATGGGCTATCTGTACTTGCTCATGGGCGTCATCATCTCCTCTGCGGTGTTTCCCGGAGCCATGACTCTTGTCTGGAAGCAACAAAATTGGATTGCCGCTGCCAGCTCACCAGTTCTTGGACTCGCGGTGTCACTTATTGCCTGGCTCGTGACCGCCAAGAAGGAATATGGCGTACTCACCGTCGCAAGCACCGGGGCGAAGTAAGTCTTGTATTGCCCTCTGGCACTTTCTTTCCCATTTGCTGATTGAAAACAATAGCTACCCTATGCTTGCCGGTAACGTCGCGGCTCTGCTCAGCCCCATCGTCTTCTCGCCGGTTCTGACATACCTTTTCGGCACTCAAAACTATGACTACGAGTCGATGCGCGCTATTCGCAAAGTCGACGATACAGATGTTGCAGCGGCGGCGCATGTGGACATCGAACTGATTCCTGGCGAGGTTGACGTGCACGACGCTCAAGCAGAGGAAGAGGAACAGCGCAAGCTCAACAAGGCGGCTCTCTACTCTCGTACGCTGACCATCGGCATGGTGATCTGCTTCCTGCTATTGTGGCCAATTCCCATGTATGGGTCTTCCTACGTTTTCAGCAAGAAATTCTTCACCGGCTGGGTGGTAGTTGGTCTGATCTGGCTTTTCTGCACTACATTTGGCGTCGTCATCTTCCCTCTCTGGGAAGGCCGTCAAAGTATCATCCGGGTCGTCAGACTCATGATCCTCGATCTCACAGGGAAGAGGCCTGCCCTTGTTGGTCAAAAATCTGGAGAGCACGATGATACCATTTCTGGTGTTGCGACGCCAACAGAGAAGATGGAACCAAAGACAGCCGCCTGAAGCTCCCTTTTCGTGGAACTATTCTGACGACAGAGGATACGAAGTGATGTCTGATTAGTGCCTTTGTGCTGGGATCCATGAGATCTCATGTTGTCATGCTCGATTTATACCCCTTTCGTTACGTTAAGTAGATAATACCTAATTTCATTAGTCTCTCTACCATGGGCATTTTGCTAGCAACACTTGCATGCTATTAGAATGTGGTATCTTCACTAAACGCAACGAGCTAAATTCCATTCACCAAGCATGACACATATCATTGTAATGACAACAAATCACTGGCCCCTCGGCTCGTCATTTATAGCTGTAATTCTGCTGCGGTGGTGGCTGGGGTTGTCCCTGCCCCTGTCCCTGGGGTGGGCAGCCCTGCTGCGGATAACCGCCGCCAGCGCCGCCAGCAGCATAATATGCCTGCGGCGGTGGTGCAGGACCTGGCGGTATGCCTTGCGGAGGTCTTGTGTCCGGCGTAATATCAGGTCGATCGCTGTAGATAGTTAGAGAGAGTAAAGGGAGATTTCAGCGGCAATTTTGAGGGAAACGTGGGAGCCTTACCGCAGGTCCTGAGTAAATCGGCACGTGTAGCATGTTACTTCCTGTCAAGTTTTAGAAGCCCGTGGTTGTACAGTCCAAGGGGGAAAACTCACCTTGTACTTGTGTGTTGCGAGAGGGATACAGGGCTGAAATTTGGATGTTAGTTTCTGCTTTTACATGGAGTCAGTAGGCTTGCAAGGTCATACAATGAAGCAAACGGTAAACCACGGCCTGGAATATACTTCATTAGCAATACTTTCATGATGAGATTCCGGTTACATGACATACCACCGAGTTATACAGTGTCCGTTCCAGTGTTGGCCTACACAAGTTGGAATCAGTACATCACCGTTTCTCGGTTCAGGTACATCTCATGTGACTTCATTCAGGTACTCACAATTGTAGCAGTATGCTCTGACATTCTCGTAACCTTCGAGCATCGAAGTAAATTCTTTGATTCAGCGTTAGCAGTGGAGCAAAGATAGTAAGCATATTGTGAGCTTGCGGACAAGCACTGCTATGTAGCTTGCGTATCCAGCAATATATTGCCGATGACATAGTTGTGTCTTGTTGGTGGGCGAAGACCTTACCATGTGTTCCGAATGTGATGCAAATCGCCATGATGAAGTTTCCAAGTCACAAAAACCCCGGAGTTAATGTCGATTAAATATTTCGAATTATAGCATAAGACAATGCTGGAATAAGAGAGGCCTCAAGCTGGAAGTTTCGTAAATAGAAGATGCTTGCTCAAGGGGCAAGGCAGCGGTAGTAGGTGATATGTGGCGCTGTGGCTTGGCACTTGGCATCTGCTTTCAGAAGAGAGAAACAGACACAACATGTGATGATACCAAGTCTGAAGAATCGTCCACGTTCCTGCCATCAGACACATGCACAATACTAAGAATTGGCCGAGTCAAGTGTGTCACAGGATCGTTTCATGGTCTTGTTGTCATGTAGGGTTCGTATAGCCATTATCTTCTGGGATTGGTAGTAAACATGATAGACAAGCCATTAGGCCATGATTGAACATGTATTCTTAACAAAATTGTACTTCTATCTCAAAAATTTGACAAGAATTGGAAAGCAACAGCGCGCAAGCAAACGGGTTAAAGTCGCTCAAGGCAAGCAGGGGAAATCATTCATGCAGCGTGCTGCCGAGGACGGTATCATCAAGACACATTGGACTTGTCCAGCAGCAACCGAAGTCTGTTACGTCCAGCAGCAGCGCACCACCCTCCGTGTGTGACTGTTCTCGAAGGGTCGACTCCGGGTTTACCACTTTTCAGCTGAAGGGCTTCGTAATGTCGACTCTCCATCCGAAAAGTAGGAAGTGAACATAGATGTATGATTTTATTGTGTCTTGAAGAGGAGGATGGCGCAGTGTCCGAGGTAGAAGTAAATGAAGTGCTTCGTCTCTAGAATGACATTAGTTGCTATTCAGAGCGGATGAGCCCCCAATACTTACCATGTGTAACGAAGCTGCCAAAGTTTCTTCCTACGACGCAATGCCATGTCGCTCCCTTGCGCGAATCAAACTGCCAAATCGTGAGTCATTCAATCGACGCATGACATCTCGGACGGATAAAGCGGACTTCTCTCTTGATGTACTGGGCAATGTCCTGATAATGTTAAGCATCCTAACGGACAACAAAAGACCCCAAGTGGAATTACACACCTTCTCAATGTGATATTTCTCCATCGCCTCAGTGGCTGGAAAAATCAGCTGCCGAACTCTCACTGGAAGCTAAGAGAGATCATACCAACTTCAACAGCCTCTTGCTGCATCTCCTCCGTCTATTGAACGACATGAGTACCTCCTTCGTGACTAAACGACTGGACTCTCTTACCATATCGACGGACTTGATTTGAGCTGGAGAAGACTTTCAGTTGCGCTCATAGATGAATTGACTGCAACGCGACACTTACGCTCCAGCTTCTCCTTCTTCTCGGTGGCCATGCTTCTAGTAGAGATAGGGCGGTTAGAAGGTGCGGATAGAAACAGCAGTTATAGATTGAGAAAAAGTTTATCTCAAGATCCGAAAGATAAATATGAATTGAGAATGAAATTTCAGAATATAAACATCGTTATCATTAGATGTCCAAACAATGATGCGACAACCATCGCGTTGATGACGCACGGGCCATGCCCACAACTGTCTCACCGCCTCGGCACTATAAGGAAGCATCAGCCAAAATTTTTTTTTGATTCCCTCTCAATCATCTGCGGATAACTCTGCACCCACGAGACACAATCATGGAGAACACAAGAGTGTTCGTGTCTGGCCTTCCGCCGACATTCACAAATGATCAACTGAGGAAGCATTTTTCAAGCCGCTTCCAGATCACAGACGCTCATGTACTTCCAAAGCGCAGGATTGGCTTCGTCGGCTTCAAAAGCCCAGAGGCAGCCCAGCAAGCGGCTTCTTACTTCAATAAAACATATGTCAAGATGTCTAAGATCTCAGTAGAGATTGCTAAGCCGGTATGTCATTCTGCCTTGTGAACCACCCTGATTTCGGTCCGATGTCCTGCTGTTATTTTCTTCTTCGCCCGCTGACTTCCTGCAAAGTTGGTCTTGAGACTGACCAGAATTATTGTAGATTGACTCTGAGCCTGTCAAAAAGACAGAGAAATACAAGAAACAATCAGCCTCAGATGACTCAGCCGCAGGAAACACACTCAAACGTAAACGGGATGGGGATAACACCCAGAAGGATTCCCAATTGCAAGAGTACCTTTCCATAATAGAGCATCCTTCGAAGACTAAAACGTGGGCCAATGGTGAAGACTTTCTCAACACAGTTCAAAACCAACCACCATCAAGTGACCAGCGCGATGATACGACTGAACAAGTCGAGGAGCCTTCTCACAATCAGCGGAAGAAAGCGAGAGTGGAGGACCAACAAGAGGTGGCCCATGGTCGAGAGCCTGAACCAATGGTTTTTGACAAGACTGAGGAAGAGCATGAGAGAACAATTGCAGATGAGCGGGGTGAAGCTATTTCCCACACACAAGAAGAGCCAGACCCAGTCTCGGATGCCGATTGGCTTCGTTCGAAGACGAGTCGTCTTCTAGGTCTACTTGACGAGGACGAGCAGGTTGAATTCGATTCTACAGCCCAGCGAAAATCCGATACATCGCCGCAGCCAGCGACTGTCTCAAAAGCCGACGTTCAACACTCCAATGATAGCAAGACTGCTGTCGAATCATCGACCGAGGCAGAGGAGGTTGACACGAATATTGAAAATATACGTCTTTCCTCACGGTTGTTTGTTCGAAATCTACCCTACGACGCCAGTGAATCAGATCTGGAGCCCGTTTTTTCCAAGTTTGGCAAAGTTGAAGAGGTTCGTTTTATCTTTTTTTCCTTTTCTTACTGCCCTCCACCGCCTCCTCCCGGTAGAGAGTTGCTCGAATGATGATCTTCCTGATAGGGACATCTGATGCAAAAGCACATGATGCGAACAGGACAAGAGATTTTAGTAGATGCTTCTTGAATATCTGAAGAGCAACCTCCACTGAACAAATTCTACTTCTTTGACACGCAAAAGAACGCTTGACGAATTCTCGCTAATGGTTGCAGATTCACGTTGCCTTTGACACTCGGTCTACCACCAGCAAGGGATTCGCCTACGTCCAGTACATCGAACCTGATGCGGCCGTCCAGGCATATAAAGAGTTGGATGGAAAGCACTTTCAAGGCCGCTTAATGCACATCTTGCCGGCTGCTGCGAAGAAGACTTACAAAATCGACGAACATGAACTGTCGAAATTACCTCTCAAGAAACAAAAGCAGATCAAGCGGAAGATGGAAGCTTCTTCGTCCACATTCAGCTGGAATTCATTATACATGAATGTGAGTTTAGATCCGAGTAGTCGCTATGTCTATGAGCCGGCTAACAGGATATTCATAGACTGATGCAGTCATGTCCTCGGTGGCTGAGCGACTTGGTGTCTCCAAAGCTGATCTTTTAGATCCCACTTCGGCAGATGCCGGCGTGAAGCAAGCACATGCTGAGACGCATGTCATTCAGGAAACCAAAGCCTACTTCACAGCGAACGGTGTCAATCTCGACGCCTTCAAGCAGCGGGAGCGAGGCAATACTGCCATTCTAGTAAAAAACTTCTCTTATGGCGTCAAGGTTGACGATTTGAGAAAGTTATTTGAGCCCTATGGTCAGATCACAAGACTACTAATGCCACCCAGTGGTACAATAGCGATCATTGAATTTGCTAGGCCAGATGAAGCGCAGAATGCTTTCAAAGGCCTTGCATACCGAAAAGTGGGAGACTCTATCCTCTTCTTAGAAAAAGCCCCTACGAATCTTTTCGATGCGATAAGTGTGTCGCAGACTTCCGTCCCCGAGACCAAGGCTGTGTCCCAAGGCTTCTCGACAGCCGACACTTTCGCAGCTGACGATGCGGACGAACCTGTGGTCACATCGACCCTCTTCGTAAAGAACCTTAACTTTTCCACGACCAACGAAAAGTTCACGGAGCTGTTCAAGCCACTGGACGGCTTCGTTTCGGCCAGGATCAAAACCAAGCCTGATCCTAAACGACCTGGACAGACACTTAGCATGGGCTTTGGCTTTGTCGACTTCAGGACGAAAGCTCAGGCCCAGGCTGCTCTTGCTGCAATGAATGGCTACAAGCTTGATCAACATGAGTTGGTAGTAAGGGCATCCAACAAGGCCATGGATGCTGCCGAGGAGAGAAGACGCGAGGACACAGCAAAGAAAATTGCGGCGCGTCGGACAAAAATCATCATCAAGAACTTACCATTCCAAGCAACCAAGAAAGATGTCAGGTCGCTCTTTGGAGCCTATGGGCAGCTACGCTCTGTGCGGGTTCCTAAGAAGTTTGACCGGTCTGCTCGTGGTTTCGGTTTTGCTGACTTCGTAAGCGCTCGCGAAGCGGAAAATGCCATGGACGCGCTTAAGAATACGCATCTCCTGGGTAGAAGATTGGTATTGGAATTCGCAAATGAGGAGGCCATTGATGCAGAGCAAGAGATCGAGCAGATCGAGAAGAAAGTAGGGGAGCAGCTGGACAGGGTCAAACTGCAAAAGCTCACAGGAACCGGGCGCAAAAAGTTCACTGTAGGGGCACAGGAAGACGAGGAGAGCTGAAAGCCCTTCTCCCTGTGCATAGGGACCATTACTGCCAACGACGACTACTTCTTTGATATCATCCCTTGCTTGAGCGAAAGTCGAGGCACGGAAGCAAGCAGGCCCGGCCGACACGTTCCTGTAACCGTCAGTACGTACATACGCGTCCTGCAAAGCATCAATCACCTCGTGCATCTTAATTGAGCCTCTTCTTTCCATCCCATTCCATCCCACTTCCTTGGATATCGCGAGTCACGTCCACCCTGGATATTTCCCTCTCCTATATACGCTTAGCTTCCTTAATTCTGGGATACCAATACAGCAGAATCGGAGGAGAGCTTTCTGCCCTGCCTTCTGACCTACATTCCTCATGTCCTTTTAGTAAAGAGCTTCAACATTCCTTAATTATGTTGTTCAACGTCTTGCATTCTTCAAGAGGGGTCTTTGCCACCTATCAACTCGTCATGGCTCATTCGTACCTGCTTGAACAGCGACTGCCAGTTTTCAATGTGCGCAGCATCAAAATCCCCGAGCAGGTGCTCACTGGATCGTGCCCTTTGTGAGCGCCCCTTGCGTCCCCTTATTTTTCCCTCTCCAACTCATGCTTCTTCTTCACTCCTGATTTGTTGCAGCAAGGCGGCCGCTGCCCTACTCTCCTCGTCACCTTGTTTGGACGCGTGAAGTTCAGGGCAAAAGGCCGCCTTGGACGACCGAGGGTGCGCTCGAAGGGACTACTGCCAAACAAGCAGCGCGGTCGAGCAATGTAGATACTAGGGCTTCGATAACCCTCTCGGTGTCAAGGGAAAATGCTTCCCTATAAACATCTTGTTGTTCGCTCCCACATTCTCTTTCCCAGGTTCTTACATTCTCTTCCCAGCATCTGCGTTCTTGATCGCTGCTTGGTGACTGCTGCGTTCTTTGCCAGGCAGTAAGCATTTCGCGGGCCTCATCACACCTTCTCTTTGGAATCTGTCATTCTTTCCCAAGAGCCCTTTGTTGGTGTCCACCCTCGATGGCTACTGACTGGCAGCCCGAGTGTATTGCACCTCAGCATCAGTCAAGTCTGGAGAACATCGGACACCATACGGATCGAGCTCTCCAGAACACCTCGGGCAATGTACAGTCGTACTCGGACGCTATCGTTCACGGTGAGGTGACTGGTCGTGATGACCATCTACAGCATCTGGCCTATAAATATCCTCATGCCCCTGTGCACCCTCATCCCATGCCCACTGCTACCAGTCTGCATCCTCACCACATCCTAAACGCTCGAGTCCAAGCGAAAAAGCTTCGGCGAGTTCAATCAGTTGGTCCAAACCATCCTGGCGCTCGTAGGGGAAGAAGCTACCTCAAATCTCAAAAGTATTTGGAGTATCGGGCACGGCCTCGGCGGGACACTGGCAAGGATGGGGAACCGGTTTGGTCTGATGAGCTCGAGGACGCTTTCCAGCAAGGTAAATGAAGATCTATTGACATCGATTTTTGTACTGTATGTGGTAACACTGTTTAGCGCTGGAGGCAAACCCACCTATGGGTAGAAGAAAGTGGTCCGAACGAGGAAAGTCATATGGCCGAAACGAACTCATTGCAGAGTATATCTACAAGATGACCGGCAAGAAGAGGACAAGAAAGCAAGTTTCAAGTCACTTGCAGGTTCTTGACTCCTTCCTCAAGGGTGATCCCGATTGTAAGGCCACTTGCTCCAAGTGAATCATTCGACGACTGACGTTAACATGACAATATTCAGGGGAGAGACTCGTACGGGAGCAACCGGCGGACCGTTCAAGCAATCAACATCAGTCGGTCGGTCCTAAATGGAGAACCTCGCTGGACCATCCTCTGCCCAGTCATTATGGTGGGCACATACACACGGCTTACCATGATCATCTGAGGCCAGTGCAGCCTTACGTTGGGGAGCTTCCTCCGCCCCATTTCACCCTGGGCTCGAACTTGCATGAACGAAATACTGATACGATTCATGGCTTCAATTTTGACATGTGGGTGAGCGCGCCTCAGCAGGCGAATCAGGTCGACAAAGCCTTCCATGTGTACACACGCCTTCAAGGAGACCAATACCACCCTGTCGCCCCCCCTATGCCCTTGGAGAACGTCAGGGACTGGCGCACTACTTTCCCACATCTGAACTCTGTGATGGAGGAGCTGAACGGCCCCTTGGACTGCGAGATCATTCTGCTCGAAGCGAGTCTGAAGCTGATGAATGATTTCCCCCCGCCGGGTTCCAAGCTGGGGATTCAGTTGGATATAGACTTTGCACCTCCTGGCATGACGGATGCCACGGTACTCAGTCAGATGGACAATTGGACATGTAGCACATTCATGTATGAAGATGGCCATCGGTTGTCGGAGGCCTATCACAACCTTGCCAGACCAGTCTCCACCAAAGTGAAACCCCCATTTGAGTCGTCGTGGTGGGCTAAACTCTTCACAGAGCTCACGCAGGACAAGCAAATGGCCGAAAAATCAGGACAGCACCAGAATGCGGATGATCATATCAGGCAGTTTTTCCGCTCTCTGTCCGCCGTGCAAGAGATCCGAGCGATCCCTCAAAACTCGCGGCGAGTCTCTCATCAGGGCTCTGGCCATTCCAGCGACGAGAGCAAGAGGATGGCAATCTTACTGTGGAAGTTCCGGCAGACTCGACCTGACGAGGTTGGTTTGACAACCTGGAGAAAGCTGATTCCTCCACCCGACCGAACGATAATGAATAGCCCCAAGCCGGCCACGGGGATTGACCTACCCCCATTGTCTCTCGATTCGATTCTACTGAAACCACAGCCCCCGAACGTGTACCACGCGCCTCAAGCTCACGACATGTTGCACCATACCGGAAATTCTCAACCGCATTGGCCTTTGTACCCGCCACCGCATGAGAACATACCCAATATGTATCATCCGACGGGCTCCTTTGACTTCTTGAACTCGGTCACCAAGCCCGAAGACGGACTTCCGGATAGAACTGCAGTCACTTCCATCTTGGACTCCTTCTCGGGTTTGCCGCCGCAGGAGACCAGTCAGCCGTCAAGTCTCAATGTCTCCAGCGGCGGACCTGTGATGCTCAATGTTCATGACATGTCCCTGTCGCACCCTAATCTTGCTGGGTACGCCTTGAGCCACGACAACCACTACGTACCCTCTCAGCAACACGGAGTCAGCGTCCACGACAGTAGCAGTGTTTTGAGCAATATCTTTGGTTCTGGGTCGCAGTCAATGGACGAAATCGGACATAGCCAGAGCGCATGGGGCCCTCCGATCCCGTCGACGACCATTCCGGGCGATGTAGGCTCCAACAACTACACGCATCTTCCGTACCATCACCACGGCCATCAGCCGCCGGTATCCCGCGAGTCGCATCCACCAAACGGCTACGAGGGCTTGATGGGACCGGATGACCTGATGGACAAGATCGTGGGCAGCATGCCTGACGATCCTGGCATGAATGGGGCAGGACCCGATCATGCCAGTGCCGCCTATACAGATACCAATGCAGTTGAGGCGGTCCAATAAAGGACTATATCCATTGGAAACTCTTTCTATTCTTAATGGTAATCATATTACCAAAAGTGTGTTGAGATACCATTTTCGTTTCTCCTCTTCCGTCTCTTTCTCTACTTCGGTGTCTTTTATATTGAAATCTTAGCGCAGCATTGCTGTCGGCCTTGGTTCGTTTTCTCCGGGGTTGGGGTTCGCTTTTCGGAGTACTTAATACGTTTCTCATTCTCTTGTTATTCTCAAAGTCTTCAATGTATTATAGTCTTTCTAGTAATCATAATGGTACCATGTCCTTGGTTCTGCGCCTGATCTCGGGCCTTTCAGTATGTCGATGGGATTGTGGAGTAATTCTTCAATATCGATCATCATGTTTTGCCGGAATACTACAGGTGGATTTTCTGGACTCAACGACCCGCTGATAAATTATGAAATGCTGCTTCAGAGCGAAGGTTTCAGACTATTACTGGTGAGATCTTGCTGGTGGAATTCAGCCGGCGGCAGAACAAGCAATTTAGCCGGTATTAACCATCCGTCCATCCCACTTGCCAACGGACTTTAGCCTCAAACTCCAGCTTCATCGACGCCTCATTGGCTTCCCAGCGCAATTCCCCTGCCGGTTTTATCCCAGATGGGGTTGGTATGGAGCAGCAAGAAGCCCAGGCCAGAGAAATTTGGAGAAGATCATTGACCATGATGCGCGCGTGCCTTTTATCTGCTGCCCCTCCCCCTCCTACTTCTTATTCTCCTTGATAAGAATCCCATCCGCCAGCTGCCGTTCTTCTTTTCCTGTAAGTCCTGCGTCTTTCTGCGATTGAGTGTCTTTGAGAGCCTCTTCTGAGAGTTTTCTTATTCGTCCCAAGGTCAAAAGAGATTCAATTCTGTTGAAATCACTATATTCACAATGACTACCCCATCCGTCAAGCTCAACAGCGGTTATGACATGCCCCTCGTGGGTTTTGGCCTCTGGAAGGTCAACAATGACACTTGTGCCGACCAGATCTACCATGCCATCAAGGCTGGTTACCGTCTCTTCGACGGCGCCTGCGGTAAGTAAATGTTCTCGATCTCCAGCGGAAAGGCAGAGCGACAGAGTCCTGACCATCGCAGATTACGGCAATGAGGTCGAGGCTGGCAAGGGTGTTGCTCGTGCCATCCAGGAAGGCATTGTGAAGCGTGAAGAGCTCTTCATTGTATCCAAGCTCTGGAACAGCTTCCACGACGGTGAGCGCGTCGAGCCCATCTGCCGCAAGCAGCTGGCCGACTGGGGTCTTGACTACTTCGACCTGTACATTGTCCACTTCCCCATTGCCCTCAAGTACGTCGATCCCGCCGTCCGGTACCCTCCCGGGTGGCTGTCCGAGAACAACAAGCTGGAGTTCAGCAATGCCTCCATCCAGGAGACCTGGACCGCCATGGAGTCGCTGGTCGACAAGAAGCTCGCCCGCAGCATCGGTGTCAGCAACTTCAGCGCTCAGTTGCTGATGGATCTACTGCGCTATGCTCGCGTCCGC